TCCTCCCTCCCCACGTCAGCCCCGCTTAGAGCCCCCACCCCGGGGTCGCGCGTCATCTATTGACACAACACGCATCCCACACAGTGACCACCACCACCACCCTCCTCCCCGCTCAGCCTTCTCTCACCGAGGAAGGGAGTGGTGGTGTGGGGGGGGGTAGTGAACAAACCCCAAGTCACGAACCTTCTCTACAAGCGTCTACTGCCCCCCCCCCCTTTCCTCCTGTTCCTCCACACCGCCAGCACCCGAAACCCCACTCGTGTGTGCTGATGGGGGGAGGCAATGGCCAAAGTCTGAGCAAAGCCAAGCGGGAGGGGAGTGAGCGGCGTTGGAACCAAACCTCGTCTCCTATCGGGTCCACACTCTCTCTCTCTGTTTTTTTTCCTTTCACCACGGCCAAGCGGTCAGTGACAAAACGGCCACCATTCGAGGTGTAATAGATTTGAGGGTCGGATACGTTTCCTTGAATTGAGCAATGCGAAGAAGTCGCGATCGTCCCGGCAATTGTTACAGAAGCTTCTCTCCACGCCGCTAGTGCCCAACCCCCACAGTGGCCCACTTCACCACAAGGCACCCCCTCCACCCCGTCGTCACCCCAAGCACGAACCCCCTGCAACCCCCTTCCCTCTGCACCATCCCTCCCAGCGCAACGGGAGAAGAACCTCCCCCACGACTGCGCTGCTCCGCCTCCCTTCCCCCTGCCCGCCTCTCCTCCCTTCTCTCTTCCCGCCCGAGACTCCCGCCGGCGGGCTTTGGCGCGGTGAAAAAAAATCTTAACCAGCAAAAAAAAAGCCCCCCCCCCCCCTTAAAGGATAGGCAATGGGGTGTGTGGGTGAGGGGTGGCTTGGGTTTGTGCTGGGTTCGGGTTAACCTGTGTGGATGTTGGGTGCCCTTTTTTGCCATCCGTTTGTATTGTTGTAATACATATGTTTAGTTTAAACTAATCACCGTCAAACATCACGATGATTGGCCACGGTCCATCCGCCGCTGGATGAAGAATCTTCCCAAATCCGCCGCCATCTCTCGATTGTTCGACGTCGTAATAATAATAACGTTAATCCACAGCCATGTCTGCACACGAGCTCACGTATTGATTCCGCTCCATCTCTCGCGATAGATGTCCCACCTCGGACGCGTGAACATTCCCATAAATACACTTGGGTTCTTTGGGTAAAGTCACGAAAGCTTGAAATCAAGATTCCCATAAATGATCTCAAGGCGTGATGTTAATCTTAGCTGCGCGTACATATTTTCTCACGTCGTGTTTCACCCGTTTGGTTTGGGCGCACTTCAATTTGACTGCCGCACGTTTAACGTGGGGAGGAGGCTGCGGTGTGGGTCGTGAGCACACCGCGCTCACAGCCCGGACACGTGAGTGCGATTCCAGCAAGGCCGTGGCCATGGAGTCAACATTGGGGGGGACCAAATCTTCCAGGGGGTCTGAGGGTCCCCCCCCCCCCAGAAAAAAATCTAAATTTTAAAACGAATTTTCTGCCTAAACACATAGACTTTTTTTACAATGTCTAATAGTGTATTGTATTACATTGATATGTTTTTTCTTTTTTTACATTTTCTTGTTTCATTGTATGTAATGGCAAAGATTAGGGATTTATAAAGTACAACCATAACCACAATCATATAAACACAAATCTATTTTATAGCAATATATTGGGAGGACATTTTGAGCATTTGGAATATTGGGGGTGATGTGTCCCCCCCAATATATATTATAATTACGGCCTTGGATTCCAAGCCACGGGCTCACGTCAGTGGCGAGTGGGAATCTGCCCTCGCTTCCCCCGTGCCCAATCCGCACTGACCGGCGTGGTGAAATATTGACAAACAACACCGACTCACGCCAACGCAGGGAGGCCTTCGCCAAGTATTGGATTGACAAAAGGGCTGAAGGCCAGATGTGGAGGCTCTTTGGGCTCTTACCTGGTCATAAATAAAGGTATTTTTCATTTAACTTACTTTCGATACATTTGGGCAACTGACACTCAATTGATAGGTTATGTCTCGCTGAAACCTTAGGTTAAGGTTCCGTACGTACATAGCGTTTTAATTACGAATGTGTGTTGAACTTCATTCGCACCGTACGTAGCCAACCGCGCTAATCGGAGGTGCGGGAAATATACAGGCGTCAGGGTGGGGATCGAACCCACGACCTCCTGTACACCTGTTGAGATAGTTAATATCTCGCCACCGGCAATCCGTGCAACAAAAGACATGTGAACACTTCATTATATACCAGACTTCACTTATTTTTGGTGACCGTCGACCTTCAGTGATCTGCAACAGCACGGCAAGCACAGGCGCTTGAAACCATCACAGCCCAGGTGATGGCGACACGTGTGGAACTCTCAATTGTCGATACGCAGCGTGTGACCAAAAATCCTCCAACCCCCCCCCCCTCCGTGTAGCCTTAACAGACTGTTGGGACAGGCGCTGCTAGCGAGCACCTGTGAAGGCTGGCACGGCACACGAGGCGGTGGGTGGCCAGCACCACGGCAATGTGTGACTCGCACGACACGCATTCTTCCCACCGACGAGGGAGGCGTGTGCTTTCATAGACCGAGCTCACACTGCTGCCTATAATTATTGATGATACCTTCATGTCGATGCCACCTTTATGTTGACGCCCAGTACAGTATTACACACCGCAATAACTTGCAGTGTTTTACTTGTGAACAGACGGTCGCAATGGATAATCAGGATGAATTACCCTAATTTGCTTTCGAACGAAAACGCTAGTCTATGAACAATAAAAAACGGAAACGCTAGTCTATGAACACCGGCACACCAACGGGTTGTTTCGGGATGGGTCACGGCTCATTGGGCCACCGTTAAAGATGCATATATGAACAACCAGCAACTGTTCTTTCCGTGGCTGTTAAGGTTTCGTTTTCAAATGACGGTTGCTAAGCACAAGTTCCAAAAGCGCAAAACGCCACGCTATTGAAGGAATAACAGATAAGGGTTAATACGTTTCTTGAATTGAGCAAGTTGATAAGAAGTTGGGAAGAACAGAAGATGGGAGGGGATTCCAAAGTCGAGCAGGTGTGATTCTGTTTTGTTAGAACTTTATGCCTAAATGTAAGTAAAAAAAACACATCTCCTTAGACAGATATGTAAAAGTGTTGTTCTATTTGAAGAGAGGCGTGATTATTTACCCCACAGTGTTAGTAGCCTAAATGGAGATATCTCCACTGGGAAGATGGTCACATTTAGTGAAAAATATTGGTGTTTATTGTCATGAGCCCATTATGCTAAAACATTTTCTATTTAATTTTAAACTAAACCATTTTTTTTAATTTTACCAGGTAGGGCCCACTGAACTATATAGATATTTTTCAGCGGCGACTGGGCCACACATGATAGCCCAATGAAGTGGCTTATCGTGCATCAATTGATATCAGCCAAATACTCTAAAAGGCGTGTTTCTAAGTGTGGAGGGAAAAGCTGGAGAGCCCGGAGAAAGATCCACGCGACCACGGGGAGAACATGCAAACTCCAAATACACAGGTGTCAGGATCAGGATAAAACCAAAGAAGCTGTGTACCAGGCGAGGTAGTTATCATATCACCACCGCGGTGGCCGCTACCATCACCTGGTCCGTCACGAGGTGAACCTGACCGGTGATCACGTGGGTGTCGAGCACGAGGTCAACAAGGGTCAGAGGCTCACCTACGGAGAGAGACTAAAAAATATATCACTTAACGGAAAAAAAGAACACAGCACCACAGGCGCTAAAACAGCGACACGTACACGCATTTGTATGTTTCGGGACGTTGTTTAAAAGTGTTTTTTTGCTCCGTTTTACTTTGGAGTTTAGTACATTTTGAAAGCTGTCATCTCTTTCGGTGTCCACGTTGTCATCGACGAACAATAAAAAAAAGTGACTCAGCACAGATTCTCACAGTGAATATCATTTCGCCGTTTGTGCCAGAGTTCGTGCCCAGCGTGTGATGTACGTTGTGACGACTGCCCCGTTGCGTAGCTCTCCGTGATGTCTTCGGGTTGTGGCGCATGTTTGTTCGGTATGATGTCTGACGTTTCGCTCCACGTGCAGGGAACGTTTAATGCAGTCCCGTTAATGACGGAGTGCCCAGCAGGCGGAGCGAGACGTCGGACACCGCGCGGAATATGCGACACAACTCGAGAGCACATGGGAGAGCCGTCCTGCATATGTTGTTACTTTATTACACCTTTTTCAATCCGCTGTTGGGTCAAACATTTCCCCCACACCGTGTTGGTAATGGGAAGTCGTTCGGCCATACTTCACCAAAGTGGTCAGTACACGTTGGTGCAAAGGGGTTGCCCAGGACCGGTTCACTCGTGACCGCTGATATTAGTTTTAGCCACGGATTGTTAAATAACTCAGATGGCCACATTCGTAGAATCAACGCACTGCACGAACCACTCCACCCACACCGTTCCACCTTTTGTAGGCGCACGCTTTACATATGCAGTTACATCTGCTCGCATGCGATCGCTCATGATAATCCCGTGGCATATATTAGTTCACGTGAAACCCACGTGTACTTTACAGTGTATGTGTATACGGCGTTCGAGTGGCACACACCGCAGCTCGTGCTGTCAGCCGGGCAGTGAATATGTACGAACCATGACATTCATGGGCACGCACCTGACGCTACGTGCTAATACATACGCGTGTAACATAGGCAATGACGAAAGGGCAGCATAATCTGCTTTGCTTCAAACAGACACTTTTTTTCTTTCTTCATAAGCTAAGTTCGGGATCGTTGCTAACATTGCTTTAACAACCCGCACACACGCACAACTACCCTTATCTTGCCTTCACCCTACACCTCCCCAGCCCACCCCTGCTCGTTTTTTTTTAACGCAAAGCTGAGTTTGACACTGCTCCGGCAACGTCGGTGTGCAAGAGGATGTTATAGATATGTGTTTTTGTTGTTGTAAAGGTTTGAAGTGGCCGATCGTGTCTCGGCCGATAGGAGAAATAGCTGGCAGAACGA